TGAGTGTATCCGTCACTTACGGGGGCCCTCCCTCACATGTGTGACAGCTTAAAGAGAGTCGGACCAAAAACCCGGTAGGGTCTAACGGGAGGGGGTGGGGGGGGGGGGTAGGGTGCCCGTGAGTCGCATATGGCGATGATCATAATGTTAGAGACATTTTACTGTTTTGAAACACTAATACTTGTGTTTAATGAAGTCTCCTGAGTATAACATGTACAGGTTTTTATAGTGTTTTTGAAAGTAACAGGGTCAAATCTAAGGCTCGATTTTCCATTTTTTCCACATTGAAATTTGCCAGATTGGTTATGTTGCCTTTGAGAGCATATGGTAGCCCAGGAATGAGAATTATCCCAATGATGGCATACCATTTGCAAAAGTAGACAACCCAAGGTATTGCAAATGGGTTATGTACTGTCATTTTTAGTAGCCACAAACACACAAACAAATATAAATGCTAACTTTGGCCACTAAAAAGTGGCTACTATAAAAGACTACACATACCCCATATTGAATACCTTGGGTTGTCTACTTTATAAAAATATGTACATGTGAGGTGTGATTCAGAGATTTATGACAGATAACAGTGTTACAATGTCACTATTGATAAATTTTAAACATACAAATTTTTAAACAGCAATGTCCTTCTTGTACTTATAGCCCTATAACTTTCAGAAAAGAGCTAAGAACATGTTAACATTTGGTATTTCTAAAAAAAAAAATTAAACTTTTTAACACAGATTTTAGGGGTCAAAGTTGGAAAAAGTGAGTTTTTTAAATGTTTTCATCATATTTTATATTTTTTTATAGTAAATTATATGATATGATGAAAATAATGATATCTTTAGAAAACAGTATATAATATTTGTGGGTACAGTAAATGAGTAAGGGATTCGCGAGATTTACACTGGGAGATGAACGGAGCTGCTGCAAAGGTATGTAACAGCTTTCTGCCGGCCCCCCCAGGACCGCCGGGCTTGTAATGAGCCCAGCGATCCTGGTCTGTATTATGGCAATGTAAGTTGCCATAATACAGATCCTGACTCGAGTATAAGCCGAGGGGGGCTTTTTCAGCGTAAAAAAATGTACTGAAAAACTCAAGTATATATGGTAACTTGTTTGTATTTGTTGTTATCATTAATAAAATGTTAACTATCTTGGCACAGCACTATCAAAAGGTTTCCTACTAGTGTCCCAAAATATGAGAATACTCTTTTGAAAAATTAGGTAAAGTATGCATAATTACCAAACGTGACAGTTATTCTTCTAAACTATAAGCATGCATTGATCAATTGCAAAATATTGTTTTCTTTTAATGGCTGTTCTCCAATATACAATGTTTAAAATAATAAAAGATCCACCAAAGCAGACAAGTAACAGAACAGTTACTGAGGGAACACAAAGTTATGGACCTGGCACACATTTTTGAATCAGTCATACAGCTCATTAAAACATAATTGCTCTTCTTGCAGATCTAAATGGCTACAAATTGATGATTTTAGCGTTTGCATATTTAACATTACATTTACTAAGAATAGGTCTCAATGCAGAAGCCAAAGTTAATAAACAGCTTCAAAATTGCACTTAATGTTATAAGCCACTGTCTAGATATTGTTATTTTTGTATTATGTCATAGGAAGTAAGGTGCCAAACCGTTCTTGGTGCAAGTAAGTGTCTGTCAATAAAAGGCAATAACGATTAGACCAAATTCCGTTTCAGACATACCAATAGGTGTGGTCAGTCAACTTTTTCAAAGGTTCCTTTGGTTGTCATTACTGATACAGTGAAGCATGTCACTTGATATTTACCAAGTTTGGCAAATTGCAGTTTGGCTTGGATATTTGAATATGTATATTGGCTGACTTTAGGTCCACATGGACACGATGAAGACACCTAATGTCATGCCTAGTGGTAAGACAGAGTAATGAATTGTGGCCGTTGGCCTATTTTACTAATCTCTAATTCCACTAATTTCAAGGCCTTCATTCTTCTAATCCGTCTTTTTATTTCAACAAAGTCTACGAATTTATATTTGGCAAGAGCAAGTATTACATACACGTAAGACAAAAAACAGCCTTGTCTACTTTTATTTAACATATGAAACACCTAGAAAACGTTAGCTTATTTAATGTATAGATAGGTATGTCCATTATCTTTGAGTTTGGTATTATTATTTAATCAATAGATAGGTACGTTCATTATGTTTGAGTTTTCTATTAACCCATTATTTACCATAAATATATATATATATATTTGAATTCTTTGGCAGAACCTTTTTTTTCCTGAAAAAGAAAATGTTTTGGAAAGTCCAAATTTTGCCCTTATGCTTCTCAGAATTTTGAAATTGAAACAAATTAAACAGATGAACCAAAAGAATCTGAAAATGAACCTGGAAATTTAATGCAAAATATAGTATTATGTACATATTTTTCGGTATACTGATAGGAGCATTTTGCTGTTTTTTGGTTCACAGATCAAAATATTTCTTAAATATATAAATACTGTTTTTTTTCTCCTCTATTGCTCATTTTTCACTTGATCGCTGAACAAACTAAACTTTTAGTGACTGTCCTAGCCAGCAATCATCTTTTTTTCCCCATCAATAATCTATTTTTGTGGCATCACAGGCAGAATTCAGAACCGTGAAGCAGAACTAAGATTTTTGTTCATGAATCTGGCTTAGGGTTCAAATCAAAATGTCTGTCTGTTTATCTATCTATCTATCTATCTATCTTATATCTGTAGAGATAGGAGAGAGAGACAAAAATCTGTCTATTGAATTTTAACTTCTAAGATTATGGATCAAGTATGAGATCGAAAAATCATTGCCTCACAATATTGCCCTACTGTCCCTCACAGGATCACCCCCTTCACACAGGATCATGTCCCCCCACACATAATCACCCCACAGTGCCTCACAGGATCACCCCCCACACACACAGGATCTCCCCACAGACACAGGATCACCCCTCACACATGAACTGCGCCCCCTCACACACTTTCAGCCCCCACAATGTGGTGTCACCATACTCTCACACACTGTCAACCACCCATCACACTTTCACATCTTCACCCATTGTCACCCATCACCACACTGTCATCCCTCCTCCACACTTCAATCCCCTTCATGCTTCCACACTCACATTAACCACTCCTAATCCTGTTAATCTCACCCCCTCCAAATTTACCTGTACTTGCTCTGCCACACTCACCCTGTCACATTAACCCCTCCAATCCTGTCACACTCGTCCCTTCTACCATGCCACTATTACCCTGACACACTTGCCTCCACTTGCCCTGTCACACTCCCTCATCAAACCATGTCATACTCGCCCTCCCTCAATCTCTCTCACAACCTCCCACCCTGTCCCATTTGCCTCTTTTGTCCTGTTACACTTTCCCTGCCACTGGTACCCTTTACTCACTCTGTCACGGTCACCAGCCAAAGACATACATCATACACACTTTATTATTTGGAAAATGATTTTTTAAAAGCTTTTTTTGCTCAAACAAAATTTTCATTTTTGTTTTTTTTTGATAACCCCTTCAAACCAGTACTTATGTATACACAACTGCCAGACTAAGCAACCATACCCCACAATTGTGTATAAACGATTGGCATAACTGCAAATTACATTTATTTATTGCAAATTAATTTTGTTTGCAAATTATGCTACAACTATAGCCAGAGAGCTAACAATGCAGGGGCACAATAAGCCATGACACTGCAAGCTTCTGAATAATGAATGCAGAGACTGACTCTCTGTATCCAGCGCTGCAAGCCCACCTTCCAATATAGCGAATGCTCCTTACACACACACAAAATACAACCCTATTATTTTATACTTTGAGTGTTAGTGGGGCCTCATGCTTGAATTTCGCCTAAGGTTTATAAAGTCTAGAGCCGCCTTCCAATAAAGGTTGTGTACTTACAACTGCCCATGAGCTTTAGTTGGGGAAATTAATAACAATAGGGGGTGAACTTGCCGTATTTCAACTGCACCTGAAGTTAGGTTCCCCTAAATACGTTTAGGTGGCTAGGGGTCCCCAAACCCCCAAACATCCCCAATAATAAGAAAAAGTCCATTTACCACTCCTAATCCACCCATGAGCTTTGGTTTTGAAATATTAATAAAAATAGGGGGTGGACTTGTCATGTTTCACCTGCACTAAAGTTAGGGGCCCCTAATTATCCCCAAGGTGGCTAGGAATCCACAAACCCCTAAACAACCCCCAACAATAACAACAAAATCTACCTACCCCCCTCACTCTAATAATAGTGTAGGGGGCAGTAAATCTATTACCATTAATAACGACTTAGTCTAGTAAAATATACAACACCATGAGTATCTCTTTCTGTAAATTAAAGAGCCAATCCACACTTACAAAAACCAACAAACAAAAAAGTTTTGTAGATATACCCCCAATGAATACATGCATATTTTTATGTAATCATTGGGAGTATAGTCTAAAACAGCTTACAAAAGCTGCAGTTCTTATAACTGCAGTCTTTGTAAGCCTTCCCTTTCACGGTGAATTGACCAATCAGAGGCTTCTCACACAGCTTTCGACAACTGAAACAGAGTGCCGTGTGTAACGCTGTGTACAGTTTCACTGAACTTTGTCAGCTGACAGCATTTTTATTTATTTGTAAAAGTACCTCTACATCACACATCTACAGGGAAATAAAATAAATACATATTTATTGTATATTAGATTTTATATATATATATATATATATATATATTTATACCTCAATCTATATCTATCTCTCTTTACATCTATCTATTTAAACCTATATACATCTATCTATCTAAACCTACACTGGTAAAAATTATAAGCGCAACATTTTTGCTTTTGCCCCCTTTTTTTCAAGAGCTGAACTCAAAGATCTAAGACTTTTTCTTTTTCTTTTTTTTTTTTTTTAAATTCTTTATTTTTCTTTGTGCATGGAGTAACAAATCATTTGTAAATGCCACAGCAGCATATTTAAAAAATGTGAACACAGTCGCTGTACATTTATGGCATAAGATTATCAGCACAATTTTTAATTGTTAAGTTATGAACAAGCTAAACGTAATGCAAGATTAACCCGCGTTTGTTAGTAGCAGTAGTATTTGCATATTCGTGGAGTATTAACCAGCTTAATTAAATGATTATACTGTCAGAATAGATATATGTAAGACAATTGAGAATAAGTAATGCTTGACAGTTATAGGTTAACTACGTTAGTACCAGTGGGATGTGGTAACATGCTTTCATGTTTCAGGGTTAGAATATGTTGAGGCTCTGACACATAAAGATTTATAACGCATGAGAACATTTATGTTAAAGTAGACCGCTGATCACTAGCTATGCATATTGGGTAAATCTGTAAACAGGTAGATCTAAGCTAATGAGTATCATGAGTTATAGTTACAAATAACACCAGGATAGTCATGTTTATATATCGTATGGTCCTGTTAGGGAGTAGTGTTCAGAGTAGTGAGAGAGATGGGAAAACATGACTGGTATAATGTTTGCTTTAGCACGACTGTATGATAGGTACATGTTAAGTAAGTCAGTGCCCTCATTGGTGTTGTTTAAAGATCCCCTGTTACCCGGGGGAGGGGGGGAAGATTTCGAATGGCTTTACCTGAGTGGCTATAACGTGCCCTTGGTTGCCAGCACTAGTGTGAGTTCTGTCATAAAATGTCGGCATTAAAATTTTAAACATATATACATCATAACTGGTTCGTGAGTCCAGGGGGTGCAGCGGGTGATGCTGTTTAAAGTACACTGGTCTGGATACTAGGTAGCTTCAAGACTGCGTCTGGCGTTGGTTACCGCGGTGATCGCTGTTTCGGCTCTTCTAGGGACGAATGGGGTCGCTGTTGCGGGATTCCAAGCGGTGCTGTGTGCCAGCGTGGTTCCGTTCTCCGGTGGAGGATGAGCGAGCGGGGGAAGTCCCAGGGTCGGTAGCAGTTCATTTGCCTCCTGTAAGTCCTGGATGGTAGAGGTCGCATTCCCGTGGTGGATTAACAGTGTGCGCGAACCTCTCCAGTGGTAGGTGATTTTATGTTGGCGTAGGAGGGCTGTAAAGGGTTGAAGTGTGCGTCTCCACGCCAGGGTGGGCCCCGACAAGTCCGCGTAAAAAGATAGCTGCATATTTTCAAACGGGTACGGTGATTGGTTCCGCGTAGCCTGCATTACCGCCACCTTGTCTCCGTGATTTTGGAAGCAAGCCAGGAGGTCTCGTGGGGCCTTTGGTGGGGCCTTGGCTGCTCGTGGTAGGCGAAATACATTTTCGATGGGTACCTGTTTGGCTTGCTTGTGAGGTAGAAGTGACTGCATTAGTCTCCGCAATGTATGTGGGAGTTCAGACTCCGGTATCTCCTCTCCTATGCCTCGGATTTTTATGTTCCGGCAGCGACTCCGATCCTCTAAGGCTGCTATACGCTGCTCGTATGTGGATTGCTGTATTTTGATCTCCTGGACCGTTTGTTGTAGGGCTTGAGTGTGTTGTTTGGTGCACTGGGAGTCTGCCTCCAGTGTGCCCAGCCGGCCCGTTAGGCCTTGTAGGTCCTTGCGTAGTTGGGTCATGTCGGCCTGTATGGTTAGTCGGAGATCTGCTAGGAGGTCTTTCATGACAGCAACGGTCACTGGTGAGGAGTCTGCTTGCGGGGGTGACTTGCGAGGTGGTATTTCCTCATGCGGGTGTTCCATCTCAGTCTCTGTGGTGAAATCATCAGAGATATCCGAGCCGTAGTCGTTGTAAGCGGCCATGTTGGGGCCTTGGGCGCTAAGCGCCTGCTTCCACATGTCGCCAATGCTGTGGTGCTGCCGCGGGTTGTCGGGCTTAGATTTTTTAGTTTTGCGGCCCATATCGTTGGTAGATGCCTGCAGGTCGTTTTGGTACCGGTTTCGTTGGGCTGGGTTCGTGTTAGCTGGTCCAAACTACTTTTTTGCAGCGGAGCTCGCTAGGCATGCGGCCATTCAGGTCAGTTGCTTGGCTCCGCCCCCAAAGATCTAAGACTTTTTCTATGTGCACAAAAGGCCTATTGCTCGCAAATATTGTTCACAAATCTGTCTAAATCTGTGTTAGTGAGCACTTCTCCTTTGCCGAGATAATCCATCCACCTCACTGGTGAGGCATATCAAGATGCTGATTAGACAGCCCCTTTATTGCACAGGTGTGGCTTAGGCTGGCCACAATAAAAGGCCACTCTAAAATGCTTTTATAATTTTGTTCAGTGTATATACATCTATCTATCTATCTATCTATCTATCTATTTGTTCTGTATAGCTTTCTATCTCACAGACTGCAGGAGTGAGAGCAGACAGTCTGTGAAGCAGCAGTCAGGAGGAAGGAGGGTGGGCTTGGAGAAGGCAGGCAGGAGGAAGGAGGGCAGGCAGGCATTTTAGGCTGGTTGCAAGCAAGAGGAATGGAGGGTTGAAAGTCCTGCGCACGTACACGTACTCACGTTAACATAAATTATGAAAAATAAAAAAATGTAGAAAAAGTAGGATTGCAGGCGCAATCTAGAAGAACTTGTCTGCTACTTTTGTTAGCTCAATAGAGCTAATGGAAGTAGCAAGTCAATATCCCCAGCTGCCAAACAGGCGTTCTTATTGTTAAAGATAAAAGTGCCAATTTCACAATGAAATTGACACGTTAATAAATTGAATTTTTAAAGGAATATTTAATAGCCATAAAGCATTTTAGCAAGCTGAAGTGCTGTATGGGTCTAGAGTGGTCCTTTAAGCATTTATCCCAAATACCCATTTAGTGGTATTACAACATAATTCTCAAAACCCACTACCTTGGATCAACAATAGTCCTTTGTTATTTACAGCATGCCAGACACTGAATAAAATGCATAAGAAACTGGGCAGTGAGACTGATATATTCCTTTGTTTACTATCATTTTCAGAATGTGAACTCTGTTAGAATTTTCCATAAATTAGCTTCAACACTCCTTACAGCAGTTCATCTACATCGTCCTGCCGATACATTCCACACTTAACATTGCTCCAAAATATACAGTAGCGCCACTCGATATGCATCATGTATATTATAAACAACTGTAATGTTTGTTTGCCTCTTTACTTGAGCATGATATCAATCAAGCATTTGACACACTGACCCTGACCATGACATAAATCATTAAGTCTGGAAAGCTATAAACAAGGACTGGAGGCATGGGTTATTGATTATCTCATGATCTAAACCTTCACGATTTTATAGATGTTTCCCTCCAAATCAAGAAATACTTCACCTCAGTCTCAACTGATATTATAGTGATGGCACGTAAGAGCATATGTAACACTTCTGTACCAATTAAATTTGGATTATGTCTTTTCGATGAATAGTCTAAAACTTCATTACCTAATATCACATTAGTACCTTGGTTTAAAAGGTTTTTTATTTCGTACATAGTAAAGGCAGTCAGATAGCAAGATTACTGATGCAGTTTCATGTATGCCTACGTTGAGGCTAATGAAATCATCAGAAAGTAATGTTATTTATTAAGAAAAAAGAGATAAATATGCCTAACTAAACAAAACATTTTCTAATAATCATTTACAGCATTAGGTAGGCCTTGTATTCCAGTGTAGAGGTTCGAAGAAACATTTTTGGTTGAACCGAAGTGGAGTACGGCCTAAGTAGATGATAAGTGAAAATATATAGTAGTAGGTAGCTTATATATAAATGAAGAGCATGTTATGTAAGCAACAATGTTTACGCCTGACAGAAGAAAGTCAAACAACATTGTAACGCATTCTGATCATTTTCTGATGCGGGTGTCTGAATAAGGATATTGGTTACCGCACATTAAGAATATGTGGGAATGTATATCATTCGGTGATATATGTGGGAAAAGAGATTATAGCATGTGCATTCTGTGGCACTATTAAGTAAAAAGCAAGAGGGGTCGAGTTTGATTTTGGAATTATATTCATCTACATTAGTAAACTATTCAGCATTCCAGTTTTTTGGGTGAACTGGAGTAGGCAGATGAGTGGAGGCCCACTGTTGGATTAAAAAGCTTTCCTTCACACACTATCCAAGGTAGATTGTGGTTCAAGTGACCAAAGTCAAATGTTTGGTCATTTGACCACTCTGTTCTACTATAATTGGTTGGAAAGAAAGGTAGTTTTAACAAACATAATAGGCCCCACTTATCCAATACTTACATTAACGTCTGGGGAATAAATTTAAATCCTTCTTCTAGTACACTGAGTGGTATTCCATTGAGATTCCCCAGGGACTCAACCCTATCCTGGAAATATTCTTGGTTTTATTAGAAACAATGGAGGAGAGGCATCAAGTGGAGAGTACTGTAGCATACATTAGAACCTTAAGAAAAATAGCAGTATGTTACATATATTTTCCATAGTTCTTGATTTTTTCTGTCTTTCTCACGGGAATGGCATGACAGAGCTGGCAGTATATTTAGCGAATGTTGAAAGACATTTCTAATTGTGAAATAACAGACATTTTAAGCAAAATGTTTTTGAATAAAAATATCAACAAGCAATATGCCATAAAAGGCATAAAAATTATATATAGTGTTAAAATAATGTGAGTGTCAGTTCTAAATTCTAGCCCCTCCTTTCTGCTAGATTAGGTAAAATTACATAATTATACCATGATGCATTTTAGAGGCAAGCCATGGACATGTTAGAATCCAATTTGTAAGCGTTATTTTATGGGAATTGCTTTAATGGTTACATTATAAACAAATAACTAAATTAACTTTATTTCTGTTGTTTGTGTCATGTCATGCACTACTACAAATTTCCTCAATTTTCCTTATGTAGTTTAAAACAAATGTCGTATTTAATATCAAATTATCCATCTTAATTCTGACAATATATTATTTCATCTTTCTTCGACTTTTCTGCGATCTAAACAGAAATTTTCTGTAATTGGACTAAATAGTGTAATGAATACCGGCATTTTGTGGTAAACCACTATTTAACCCCCTCCGTTTATGGCATAATAACAAACAGCATAACTTGTTCTAGAAAAATAATGTTCTTGGAAATATCATTTCATATGTTCCTGTGATTGAAAATAAATTAAAGATTTCTAATTTTAAACCGTGGTTTATGGCTTATTGACATTTTCCAAATTTAACATTTGTATTCTTTCCAAGATATTAAAGGTCAATACATTAAACACATTTCATAATGTGTTAAAATACTTTCACAAAGCCCTCTATAGAAAGTTAAAAAAAGGTTACTCAGATTGAGATTTACAAAGCTGCTTCACATGTAAACCTCTTAAGGTTGTACTTAATCTTTTTATCCAATATGGCAGTGCTAATTTTTTTTACATTGCACACAAGATTAGTCTTTTTTTTAAATTTTATTTTTAAAGGAAATATTTTACCATGAACAATGACAGTTTCTACAAATATGAATTTTTAATACCTATGTATTACCTATGTAATACCTATGTATAAAAGAGAGTTATGTTAGTTACACATGATAGCCTCATCATTAAGTGGGGTGATTGCTTCACAGGAAAAGTGATGGTATTACCGTAGACAATAGTACCTTAATGAGGGTGAATAAATGGACTAAAAATAGCTATTTAGGCTTGGATGGTGATCCACGTGGACATATAGGCCATGAACTACACTCAAGGTAACTGGCAAACAGCTGAAAAAGAGCAGAAT